AGCCGAGTTTTATTAATTGCTTTATGACATACTGTTCTTCGAAGTTCAGGATCTTAACTGTGCAACTAAGTGGTACTTGGACAAGGAACAAATTTCGTTAAAATTTCAGCTTTTTAGCTTTTCTTGTCCCCGAATTAGCAATTTCCTTGCCAAAAACTTTTATGGGCCCATATGTGAATCACACACACCTGTGGGCTGACTTTGAAATCTTCCTGTTGTACGTGGGCTGGTACACCCCCTTAAAATTTCAGCCTTACAGCTTTTCTCGTTCCCGAGTTAGCGATATTTACGTCAAAACTTCTGCGTGCTCGTACGAGGGATCCAGTCATGCGTGAATGTTGGTACCACGGTCCTGAGATGGTACCTGGCCTGAAAATCCACCGCAAAATTTCAGCGCCGGAGCTTGCTTGGTTATCGAGTTGAAATACCCAGATACACACACACACACACATACACACACACGCATATACATACATACACACACGCACACCGGGGTCATCACAACATGCGCTTTTGCATTTGCATATATGCAAAAATGCATTAACCCAGGCTGGAACGTACCAGGCGGGCCAGTGCGATTATGCGTTTTTGCACTTTTCGTGCTGTAGCAAGATCGCAAGGAATCAAAGTAGCTAACCATGAAATACTGGCCCTCGAAGTTCGGGAAGTTAATTGTGCAACTATGTGGTGTGTCAGTTGTAGGTGTCGTGTGCCGTAGCAAGATCGCAAGGAATCAAAGTAGCTAACCCTGTGAAATACTGGCCCTCGAAGTTCGGGGATGAATTGTGCTAACTATGTGGTATAGCAGTTGTAGGTGTCGACTTCAGTGACCCGACAAATGGAAAGTTGCTGGCCCGCAAAAAAAGGCCACGCTAGACGTAGGTGTCGACTTCTGTGGCCCGACAAATGGAAAGTTGCTGGTCCGCAAAAAAAGGCCACGCTAGAAGAGTTGTCGACTTCAGCGACCCGACAAATGGAAAGTTGCTGGTCAGCAAAAAAAGGCCACACAAGAAGAATTAGGTCAAAAATCTTTTAGTTGCACAGGAGTAGGAACATTCCCTTAAAATTAAAGCCTTCAGCTTTTCCCGTTTCTGAGTTAGCAGTTTTCCCATCAAAATATTCACGTGTCCGTACATGAGTACTGGATGGTTTTAAGGAACTGAATTTAAAATCTTTTGATCATACATGAGTAGGGAACATTACCCCAAAGTTTCAGCTTTCTAACTCTACTCGTTCCCGGGTTAGTAATTTTCGCGCCAAAATTTCCACGCGCTCGTACGCAGGCTCGGGCGCTTCTAAACACCTGATCTTGGTCGTACATGAGTAGGAAACATTCCCTCAAAGTTTCAGCTTTCTAGCTTTTCCCGTTTTCGGGTTAGTAATTTTCGCGCCAAAAATTTTCATGTGCCTGTACGTGAGGCCCTATCGGTCCTAAGGAGTTGAATTTGAAAACTTTTAGTCGTGCATGAGTATGGAACATTCCCCCAAAGTTCCAACTTTCTGGCTTTTCTCATTCTCGAGTTATGAATTTTCCCGCCAAAATTTTCACGTACTCTTACGTAAGCCCCGGTCAGTCCTGGGCAGCTGAATTTGAAATCTTTTTGTCATACATGGGTAGGGAACATTCTCCCAAGTTTTCAGCTTTCTAGCTTTTCTCGTTCCCGAGTTAGCGATTTTCTCAAAACTTTCACGTGCTCGTACGCGGGGCCCAGACCGCGGTCTTGGGGTGGCACTTGGTTGGGAAACATACTGGCAAAATTTCAGCTTCAAAGCTTACGTGGTTAGCGAGTTGAAATACCCGGACAGACGGACACACACACACACACTGACAGGGTCGTTGCAATATGCGTTTCTGATGCCTGCTGCACGGAAAAAACGCATAAAAACTGAATCTATATCCTACAAAAGCCCGTGGTCAGTAGGGGATTTCCCCTTTTATGAAGCCGATTCTTAGGTAAAGCTGAGAATGAATAAGGTAAAGCCGCGTAGATAAAGCTGAGAGCTCTCACTACTGCAGACGGGTTTTTGTACGACAATTTCCATTCGCATAAGCTCAGTTTTAACCTGCTTCTGCTTTCTTTAGCTTTTTATGCGTTTTTTGCATCTATGCAATGCAGAAACGCATGCTGTCGAGAGATTGTCTGTGTGTGTGTCTGTCTGTCTGTCTGCGTGTTCGGCTGTACCGATTTCTCATCTCGAGACTTTCGAGGGCTACAAGGCTAAAACTTTGGGAAATTAATCTATGTGTCTGTACGGGCCCGTGAAAATTTTTTGCGGGTAAGTTGCTAATTCGAGAACCTGAAAAGCTAGAAAGCTGGAATTTCACGGGGATGTTTCTTCACAGTTGTGGTAGACAGTCTCAATTCTTTTCACTTGAAGCATCTGCCGGAAAAAACAGTTTCGTTATCAACAAAATTTGGTAACTGCCCAAAAATCTGTTTAGTTTGCTACTTCAGGGCACTGGTGGAACAACCAGTTCTCCTACTATTCACCATTTGTTTTGACAACAGATTAGTACTGGCAAGTGTCAGAAAATTAAACCTGCCATCAGCTTGCTTACGATCAACCCCCAGATTAGGAAGCTGTTGGTCGTCTTACCAGTGGGTGGTTGCTCTTGACCACTCCTGCAATCTGCAATTAGTATAGGTGTCCCAAATTTGTGATATGCTTCCAAATGTCGGCCGCAGCAGTGCTACGCCTTTCGACCCTAGGCTGAACATCTGCAGCTACTTATCTCCTGAGCGCTATCTTGCTCACATCCCGAAAGTGGGTGATGCTCCGGAGTGCATCCGATTCTCATAGAGAGTACATGTGAACCGGGTTTCAACTTTCTTTTTGTAACATTTTAATACAGGTTTCCAGATTTCATGTTGACAAGGCGCACCGTCAATGCCGCTGATTACACTGATCAGGAAATAGGCGCAGGCATTCCAGTGAAATAATACAATGCATGTGACAATAAGTATGAAAATTCGGAATGCATTTGGCCAATTTGTGCGCATTTCGGTTCGATCAATGAAGTAGATGAAACGGTATGACTTGAGTAGACGGTTTAGGCGTACTAGCGAGATGTCGCCACGATAGATAAGTATGAAATCAAACGGAAATATGGAGCTGATATCTAGCCAAAAATTGCAACTGAAAACGGATGATAGCAGTCAAGAAGGTTCTTTTTGCAGTCCCACAGGGAGGTCCGAACGCAAACCAAGAACACCTAAACTGCTCATGTAGTCAATATATGTGTCCCACATTTGTGATATGCTTCCAAATGCCGGCCGCAGCAGTACTACTTCCTCCGTTCCTAGATTAAAAATCTGTAGCGGCGTATATTCCGAGCGCAGTCATGTCGACAGCCCGAAAGTGGGTGATGTATTAGAAAATAAGGGACGGAAGGCATCAAACTCTTGTCCCTCGCACAGTCACAAAGGGTCCCGAAACTTTCAGATTCAGAAGAAATAACGAAAATCTGAACTGGGAAAAATGTCCCAAGAATGTTTATTCCTTTAAAACACACTAATCCAATGCCCCTATGTAAGCCTAAAGAGAAGACTAACAGAATGCAGAAAATACACACTAACTGACCTGTAAAAATATCTGCTGGCAAGAAGCTTCACATCCTTGACAATTGCGCCGTCGTGAAGGTAGCCTGTAATAAGTGTGCAAGGATTCAGAATCCTAATAAAAAAACAGACGGAGAGAAAGAGAGAGTGATTCTTGTTTGATGTATATTTATATGGATTGAGGGAAGAAAGTTCTTAGTGCTGAAACTGTAGTTATCAGCTGCAAGCTTGTACTGGTGAAGAGGAATGCTACTTGGCTGGGTGAAATTTCTGTTTGGGTGGAAATATGGGAATAAAAAAACGAATGTACTTTGGCAAACTTTTTTGCATCCACGCTTGCTTTTCATAAATTTCCTTTTCAGCATATGTCTACGCTAGCTGGCCAGGCCTTGTACCAATTTCAGGCCTTCATGCGCTCAGCTACCTTCAGAAGCGAAAAGTGAGGATAAAACGAACTGATGCGGGACTGCACGAATATGTCGATGAGGAATACGGTGTCGAAGATGAAGTTGCAGCCCAGCCAATAATAGAAATAATAAATGTAAATCTCCTTGTAGACAAATATAACAACCATGAGCAGATTATAAAGGCAGCCGCAACACACAAGCGCCGTCCAGTAATACAGCAAAGATGATGTGGGGCGGATCACAAACAGTGCTAGGATTCTGCAACAACACGTTCATCAATATCAAAATTGTACTCATAATGGGACGGACAAGAACCACTGGTACAGAACTCGCTAAAGGATGACTGACAGAGCGAAACGGGCAGTGCGGAGTATGGGGATTCTTGATTCCAGCCAGGAATTAAAGCAAACTTCGTCTGGTATCGAACTCTGTCGAAAAAGCGATCCTGCATTGTCCGCTCGGCTGCAACTGGTGCCAGTGTCGGTGTCACAGTCGCACTTCTCACACTTCCCGAAATTGTACCGTTTTTATCCCTTTTCAACGATCTGATCCAATTTCGAATTACCTTCAAGTTAAAGAAGCCGAAAATTGATAGCCATTGAAATTGATACTTCAATTCTACCACTATATGAAAAGCATTTACTGGAATTTTACGTCGCCTAACGTATGAATCGCTGCGCAGGACGTTTTGCGGCACTTGCCTTTTTGACTCATGTCTTAGCAGTGTTATACAGAATCTAGCAAGGAGATGGAAAAACCCAACGCCTACGTCAAGTCACATAAATGCAGAACGTCCACATCCAAAGTGAATAAAACATGCTAGTTGTGTCGATGATGAGGAGCGATACAGCTGTTTAAAGCGTTAAATAAGGGAATGTACACGAATAATTACAAAATATGCGTGATACATATTGAGAGATTTAGTACTGTTATAAATCGGTTTGATTCTTTCGAAGGTTCTCTGTGAACGAACCATGATAGTGCGAGCAATATCAGCAATTTTCGTGAACTGGTACTCATCGTTTGAGGATGCTCCTAGACCCGAATCTCTTCCTTGTGGACTTGTCTCTCTGACTGTAGACGCCTCTGTTCGAATGCCACTTTCCAAATCCATAAGACAAAATATGTTGCATTTAGCTTTACCTAAGCCATGAGCATAAGTTATGCGCATTGCACGCAATACAGACGTAATTTCACAGCTCTTGAATACATTGTTACAAGGAAGCATCCGGTGCAAAAATTACTGTTTAAGTGAAATTTCCAGTTTTTATGCGTTTTTGCCGTGCAGCGCAAGAGCGCTGCAACAGGCAGCAAAAACGCATATTGGAA